GACACGGTTCCTTGCTAATCCTCGGACAGATCCCATAGGAGGGGTACCTTTATGATCCACGCTATACTCACAGGGAAACTGAGGCTCCGAGTTGTTCACTAACTCGCCCGAGGTCACACAGCTGTGAGTGGCAAAGCTGGGCTCGAATGTGCCTGCACACTCTCTGCTCTGCTGCATGGCTGCCAGGACTCCCTGTCTGTTCCAGAAGTGTCCCATCGTGCTGAATCGGGCCTGGCCCCCAATGACAGTGGGGACATGGTGAATCTGGGGGGTTTCAGAGCAGTGGGGCAACAAGGGCAGCCTTCCTGGGGGAGGCCATGGGAGCTGGGCCACCCAGATAAGGAAGGTCTCGGTGGTGACCGGAGCGGGGACGTGGGGCCGTTTCTGGGCCCAGCGTGATGGGTATAGTGAGCATCGGACACTGGTGGCCTCTGGCACAGCCTCTTTACACTAGAGCCTGGGTTTGGAGCATTCTAGATGTCCTGAGGAGAATTCTGACACAGTCTGAGTCTCGAGGGTAGTCTTATGGGCGACCATGTCCACGTGGGGTGCATGAGGCTCTACTTAGGGCCTTTTGGTCAGGGAAGAACAGGTCTTTTGTGGGTGCAGCTCAGGCCCCTGCAGACCTCTGAGTGATCAAACGAGGCTGTGTTTCACCCCCTCCCTTGCGTTGGAGCCAGACCCTAAATGCATCTAAGCTTGGGCTGGGGCCCTGAACCCCACGGGAAGGCCCCAGGCATGACACCCTCCCTGTCTGGGCCTCAGAGGTTTGGCACGTCTGTGAGTGTGCTGGGCTGGGCGTCTCTAACGTCCTGTCCTCACCAGGGTTTGATGCCCTGGCAGAGTGAAGCAGAAAGAAGGTGACACAAGGCTGGGTCCTGGCCTCCTGCCCCCCACCTCGAGCTCCTGCGGGGGCCGGATGGGCCACAGCGCCTGAGTGGGGGCGTCAGTGGGGGGAGGAGGGGCCCGGGACCTGGAGTGTGCCCACGATTCAGGGACCGTGCGATGCTGCCTCTGGCAGTTGACCATCATGGGGGGCACAGATGGTGGCTAAGAGGGGCAAGGTGCACTCACCCGGGGGTCTGCCTGGAGGGCTGTGTGGGGAGGAAGCCTGTGCACACCCGGGCCCAGGCCAGCTGTCAGCTGTGGGCCCTCAGGCCGCAGCCCGTCTGGCCGTGGCTTCGCCCAGGCCCTGGAGGGCGCTCTTGCCCTGGAAAGGCAGTTGGAACTGAGCAGAACAGATTCGCTTTCACTCATTGAGGGATGGAGTGGCCATATTTTGTACCCAGGAGGTCCGGCCGTGGCTCCGATTTCTCACAAACATCTGACTGCGTGGCGACATCCAGCCTGGGGCGTCCCTGCCCTCAAAGGGCGGACCAGAGGGAGGTTTAGCCTGAAAATGATGTCACCTGGAGCCAGCTTTCAATCATTCATCTGACAAACACTCGCAGAGCCCTGTCCTAAGCCAGCTCTGTCCCAGGAGGTGGAAACAGAGTGAGGACCTCCGAGGCAACATGGAGTTCATGTGCACCGGTGGGAGACAGGTCACAAACAAGATCATAGGGGACGTCAACAGTGTGTCCCGTAAGCGGCTAAGGGAGAGAGATAAGCTGGGAGCAGGGGTGGAAGTGTTGGGCGGGGACCAGACCTGACCTGACCTCACTGGGAGGGACGTAGGGGCAGAGTTCTGCTGGAGGAGGGAGCCTCCCAGAGGACTGGGCTGCTGCGATGAGGATAGACTGGGGAGGGGATGGAGGAGGCAGGACCCCCCTCTTGAGTCCCAGTGAGCCAAGGGGCTGGTTTATAAGTGCTTCCACTCCAGGAGTTTTCAGAGTTGCTGGGGCCATTTCACAGGCACGGAGACTGAGACTGAGAAGGGAGAATGTAAGGGCTTGCCCGTTTCACCACGCTGGGCTGTGGCAGAGTTGGGATTGGCTCCACCCTGACTTTGGGCTTTGCACAAGACCATCTGTGCAGATGTGAGGGTGTGCACACAGCGACACGCCAGCAGTCCACCGGAGCCTAGAGGTTTGGGGAAGATGGGGAAGTGCCGAGCACCACACTGAGCGAGCGCTTCCCTGGTGCCCTCTGTTCACTGGGGAGACCCTGGCGGACCTCCCTCCCCGCGGGGGTGTTCCAGCGCCCCCAGGTTCTCTCATGGCCTCAGCATCAGCAAACAGCTAATTTTCCCGGCCTCCAGTTTTCTAATCGGAAAGGAATTTGATGAGGGAGATGATAAGAAAACAGCCACCGAGAGTGGTTAAGACGTCCTGGGAAAGTTAAATCGGCCACATCAGACCTGGAAGTCACAGTGTGTCTTAGGAGGAAGATTTGCAAAAAGGAAGCAGTGAAAACGCATTTTAAGAGGCAGGCTGGAAATGCAGAAAGAAAGACAGGTGACTAATGAGAGGAGGAGGTTTTTTTTTCTTTTTTTTTGTTTTTTGTGAAGAAGATTGACCCTGAGCTAACATCTGTTGCAAATCTTCCTCTTTTTACTTGAGGAAGATTGTCCCTGAGCTAATGCCAGTGCCAGTCTTCCTCTATTTTTTTTGTATGTGGCGTGGCTTGATGAGTAGTGTGTAGGTCTGGGCCCGGGATCCGCACCCTCAAACTCCAGGCCGCCAAAGCGGAGTGCACACACTTAACCACTACACTACCAGGCCAGCCCCAAGAGGAGGAGATTTTTAAATCACCCTCCCTGACTGTGCCTGCATCGAGCTGGCCCCTCCCACACATCATCATTAATCGTGCTGGGAGGACCCTGGGAGGTGGGGATCATCCTGTTTAGGAAGGGGGAAACTGAGGCAGAAGCCACGGAATAGTGGAGTCAGGACTTGAACTCCGGCCTCAGGTGCAGCAGGGGTGAGGGTCAGGAGCACAGGCATTGGAGCCTGCTCCTGCCTGGGCTGGACCCCTGGCTCCATCGCTTGTTGGCTGTGTGACCTCGGGCCCGTTACTGAACCTCTCTGTTCTCTGTTTCTGCCTATATGAAATGGAAGGATAATGGTGCCTGCCTCATGGTGGTTGTGGAGGGTGAGGAGTGAAGCCTAGCAGAGCTCCTGGGGCAGTGCCGGGCAGGGGCAGGTAGGAAGCTCTCAGCAGGTGACAGGTGGTCGCTGCCCTTGTTCCTGTGGCAGGCTGCACTCCGGGGTGCTTGGGAAGCTTCTCCAGGCTCCCTCACAGCATAAGGGGTATTATTTGGATTTCCTGCCTGGAGGTAAAAGAGAAAGTCCAGGGAGGAGGAGAGAGTGGGCCGTGTGGGTCTTCCTGGCCTGTCTTCCCTGCGCTCGGGACTCACACGTTTCTACTCCTGGAAGGCGGCTGTCCACCTTGACTGCTATTCCGGATGTTCCAGGACAGCCCGAGTTTGTATAAATTAAGTCTTTGCAAAGGAAGGAGCACCGCTGGGTGCGTCTACATTTGGTTCAAAGTTTCTACCAATATGTCACTTTTCTTCTAAGAAAAGTTTCGACCAAACAAGAAACAGCCAAACCCCTCTCCTCCCCGAACCCGTTGACACCCTCATGCGGATGGGAAAGCACAAGGGGCACCATTTGTAGGTTTTCTGGAGGATCCCAGGCCTCTAACTCATCATGGCATCTGGAGGATGCCCACTACCCGCCTGGCAGAGGATCGAGTCTCCATCCACCTGGGCGGCCCCCGGAGGACGCCGTCTCGCTCGTCATGGCAGAGTGCCTCCGGGAGATCCAGGCGGTGTCCGCGCGGGTTCTCGGGACGGGGAGGGTGATAACATGAGAGAGTGGAGGCATCGCGTGAGGCCCGAGTGCCTGGCAGGGGTGGGGCGGCGTGCACGGAGCTTGCACTCAGGTGCAGCCAGCCCCAGGTTGGAGCTGGAGCTGTGGGGTCACTGCCAGGTGTGCTCCACGGCATACTTGTCATGGATGACCAACACGCACGGGCGTATGGGGTGGGCTTACGTGCAGTCCAGCCATGCAGTGGGTTGGTGGGAGCAGCTGGTTGCCAGGCCTGGAGTAGGGGTGGGCAGAGGGAAGGTACGTGTGGAGACCCCCCCTACTGTAGGCAGCTCTGGGGTGGGGGAAGGTGGGTGAGCTCGGAGGGTCTGGGATAATGTCTCAGCTCTGCATGGCGGGGTCACCTGTGAGGCGTGGCACTCACCCCTCCTGGCCTCTCACGGGCCAGCCATGTGTGTCTAGTGATGTCCCGGAAAGCTGTGGCCTGTCACCACTGTCAGCCAGTGCTCCCCTTAGGCTGGAGGAGGAGCCAAAGCTCCATCCTGTCCCAGAGGGTCGAGCCTTGGTCCCCAGGTGGGGACAGCTGCTGACAGACCTACAGCCTCTAGGGCCTTCCTGGAGGTGGTGGTTCAGGCACAGTCCAGTAATTTGCAAGTCCATCAATCGCAAGGCACCGTGTTTGGAATCTGACATGGAGCTGCCTTCCTGTGGCCATGTCCGGCCAGGGCGGTGGCCGGCATGATCGCCAGCCCCTTGCGTCCTCATCTTGGACAGGGCTGACCAGTGGGCCCAGGCCTGCCCAGTCAACAGGCGGCAGCACTGAGGAGTCCGGAAACTCAGGCCGAGCAGGCCTGTTTTCCTGGGGCGATGGCCGGGGCCCAGGACACTTACCTAAGAGCACAGGTGTGGCTTCTCAGAAAAGACCTCCCACTTGGGCCGCTGCCAGCCCAGGCCTGGGCCCTTGTCTTGTTCCAGAGGAATTCGTCTGAAGGCGACCGCTGGGCCTCACCGGGCAGGGCCTCACGTGTAACACGCATGTGTGCAGCCAACAAATGTTTTAGCACCTACTGTGAGCCGGCCCTGTGCCAGGCGTGAGACACAGCAGGGGTCACGCCCTGTGGCTGTCCCCAAGGGGCTCGTGGTGTACGGGGGAGACCGATGATGACAACAGTAACCACAGCGGGCGCCTAAACCAGGCCGAGAGCCTCCAGGAGGGCTTCCCGCAGGAGGGGACCCCTGGGCGCGGGCAGAGGAGGGCAGGTGCTGGGAATAAACACACAGCAAACCCCATCTGGAGAATCTCGCAGTTTATTCAGTCCTTGCACAGCCAGATTCTTTGGGAGACCCCTGAGATGGGCTTTGCTGGTCTCAGCAGACCGACGGATGCTGGTCTCTGGGGAAGAAGCTCTGGACGTCTCCTTGAATTGTCTCAACATCCCCACAGGCAGGTGTGGTCACCCCTCTTCTACAGATTAGGACAGTGAAGCAGCGACGGGTGCGGGGCCCTGCTCCCCATCGCACGGCGCTGCTGCACAGCCCCCGGCAGCCGATCCAGACCCCTGGGCTGTCCCTGTGGGCTCCTACCCTGCACGCGGTCTCCTCATTTAGAGCAGAGCACAGGCGTTCCTTCTGCCTGTTACCAGGGTGGCCGAGAGTCTGGGGTGCAAGGAGAGGACCCTGCGAGGGGCAGAGGCATTGGAAGAACTGCTGTGAAGCCCCGTCACTCTGGGAAATATTGTCAAAGCCCCAGCCTCCTCCCCAGAAAGGTCCACAGACACACACCTTTGGGGCCTCCGAGGGACCCCAGTTGAGAAGCTCTGGCCTGAGCAAGTGATGGTGGCTGTGGATGAGACCCAGTTTCCCAGCTGTGTGACAAGAAGGATCAGCCCCCCACCTGTGATGGCCCCTCTCAGCGGCCCTCTGCCCCCGCCATTGCTTCCCCCAGCCAGGACCCCAGCCTGGCTCACAGCTGGGGCATTCATCAGCAAGGGGCCACCAGAGGCCACTGCCGGCTCCTCCCGCCACCATCGGCAACATCACAGTGATGGAGACTGAGCGGCAGTCGGCTGGGGCGTGGTGGCACACATCAGTTTGTTCCAGTCCATCAGAGACACTCGAAGAAGTAAAGCCACAGGGTACAGTTGTTAGGACCAGCTCTGCGGGATCAGGATTTCAGCTCGGGTCTTCCCGGCCTCCCTGCCGGGAGCCTCGGTTTCTCATCTGTGAAGTGCGGATGAGGAGAGCACCCACCTCGTAGGGTCCCCATGGGATTCAAGGAGATAAGGGCCTCTTTGGGGGGACAAGGGCAGGCACTGGGGCTCTGGTGGTCAGTCACGCTTGCTCTCCCGCACGGAAGGGCCTCTCTTTCCACACGTGGCGCTGGCAGTGCTCCACGGCACCGCACGTCTCGGCTGCCTCAGGGATCTTGCACCAGAAGCTCGGGCCCCTGACGCACTGGTCCGTGCCCAGCAGCGGCGTCCTGGGGGCCTGGCAGGTGCCCATCTTCGTGCACAGGGCCACGGGGTCCATCATCTCCATGAGGCTCTCGACGAGCACGGGCTCGTACTCATTGATGAGGCGTCTGCACTGCATCAGGAAGGACAGTGGCAGGATGCTGCAGCCGCCCCGGAAGGCCGTCAGGATCTTGCGCTTGGTGATCTCACGCTCCAGGTTGCGGGCAGACATGCCGAGCAGCCTCTTGCACCCGTTGCAGATGCTACCCTGGTTCTCCTTGCCCAGCAGGGGGGACGGCATGGTTGCAAGGGCCTCATGGACTGCCCGGGCCCGCCGCCTGCTCCCACACAGCCGGATGGCCTTGCACACCTTTTCTGGGGTGACTCTGGCGACGAGTTGCACCAAGGAGGGGCTGTAGGTGTCCACCAAGGTGACGCACTGCTGGACCAAGGAAGCCGGCATCATTGAACACACGCGCTCCAGGGCGTGGCTGATCATGGTCTCCGTGCTGTTGGATTCCAGCCACTGGTCCAGCTCCTGGACCACTTCCAGACACACCTCACAGGTCAGGCCGGCCTTCATCTGGACCTCGCTCTTCTTCCTCGGGGACACTGGCTCCAGGGAAGGGATGCTGTCCACAGCAGCCACGTGAGCCAGGCGGGCGGGTTCCTTCAGTGCCTCACAGAAGCCCCCCTTCCTGCAGGTCTTCTGTGGCGGGACAAGCCTCAGCGTTTGCTCAGCAGGGGCAAAAATCTGGCGGAGGTAGTTATTGCAGAGGAGAGCCAGGCCCAGCCCCAGGGACTCACACTGCTCCTGCGTGGTCACTTCTGCCAAGCTGGACAAGTTGGATCCCACCGCGTCCTGGAGCTGGCTGACCAGCTGGACACAGTCCTGGCACACAGCACTCTCTGGAATCTGTGGAGAGTAGAAGCTGAGGGGCCCATTGGCCATGACTGGGGCCACCACCTCAGACACGTCCTCCTCAGAGAGAAGCCCCGGGGTGGCCGGGTGCCCCTGTAGCGGCTGGCAGAGGGTGAGCGCAGCACACACCTGAGCCGGGGTGCTGCCCGGCGCCCCGCCAAGCATGCTCAGGACGGCTGAGGGGTGGGTGTCCACCATGCCCTTGCACTTGGCTGAAGACTCCTGGCTGGGGAGCCACTCACAGGTCTTCATCACCAAAGCCAGGATGTCGGTCCCCGTGGTGTCGGGGTTCAGCCCGTTGCTGGCAGCGGCTGCCACGTCCAGGCACACGTCGCAGGGCAGGGTCTTGGCGGTGGGCTTGCTCCAGACGGCACTTTGGCAGTGCCCCACGGCCCCGCACCTTGTTGCTGCCTGAAGGTCCCGACACCACACTGCTGAGCCCTTTGCACACTCCTGGGGGCCAGAGGTGGGGCTGGCCAGGGCGGCGCCCAGGAGGCCGAGCAGGAGAAGCAGGGCCCGGGGCATGCTGCGCGGTGCCTCGGTGGCTCCAATGTGCCCTGCAGCCCGGCGGCTGCTATAAACCCGGCTCTCCCACCTGGCCCTGCGCAGTTGCACCAGGATGCCCCGCCCTCGGCCACCTCCCGCGGCCTGACTCATGACCCGGGCTCCACACACCAGACGAGCCGCGGTTGTAGGCCCTTCTGCTTCTCTGCCTTTGCTCCTGCCGTGCCCTCTGCCTGCGGCACCATTCTTCCCTCCTTCCCCTGGACACACTCTTACTTCTCTTGCAAAACCCAGCTTGTATTTGAAGGAAGTGCAACTCCAAGATCCCCCTCCTACCCCTGCCCCAGCGGCAGCAGCTTCCCGTGGCTCACCGACCAGTCCTGACTTGTTTGCATGGCTGAGTCCCCTCCTGGAATATGAGACCCGGGGGGAATTTCTGCCCCCTTCTGGGAGGTACATAAAGGCATTCTATCCTTTTTTGCCAGAAGATTAAGTGTATTTAATGACTGGCCAACTGCTGAAGCTGCTGTTTTCTACATTTGGCCTTAAAATGGGGTGCCCCGCCGGCTCTGCTCCTGCCTCTGGCCCTCCCAAGCTGTGCCATGTTGGGGAGGCGGCCTTGTGGAGCATCGCGTCTTCATCTGTGATGAGAGCGCCCATCCACCTCCCAGGACAAGCCACTTCCGGGAAAGCCGTTAGTAAAATGGGATCCCCGGCCCAGTTTCTTCCTTCTGGAGACTTGGCCAAGTGTGGGCTGGTCCACAGCCGATGTGAAGATGTTGGTTGAAAGGTCACATACGCAAAAGGGTTTATTTCCTTCCTGTGTCATTTGTTATCTTATATTTTTCTTCCTTAGTTTCTAGAAGAGCTCTCAGGCAGGGGTCAGCTCTGGGCTGCTGCACACAGTTGCCCTGAGGTGGAACCTGTTCGTTAAACAGAGAGTTCTGGAGCCAGCCTGCCTTTGGCCTGATTTCCATGCTGCTCACTGCTCACCACCCTCTGCTGGGCCCTCCCAGGGGTGGGCAGGTCGGGGGCCCCATGGTAGGGGGCTCCTCTGGGGCCGCCTGCACCCCTTGCTGGGTGTGAGCCCCTCGGGTGCCCTCGCTCAGATTTGGGGCTCTGAGCGCTCGCCGGGAGCATTCTGCTCCCCCACCTATGTGGGCCGGGTGTCCTGGCCTGAGCTTGCGGCAGCCTCGGTGGAGGAATGTGGATAGGGCTGTTCCATCTGCCCTCTTTCTGGGGTGCAGGGCTGGGGAGAGCATGTGGAGCACAGGATTTGCTCAGCTCTTACCCCCACTTCCAAGGACGGTGGTTCCTTTGGAGCAGAGGAAGGGACGGCCTTGGGGACGAAGTGAGCCTGGACTGTCAGCTGCAGGGCTGGCAGCTGGCTGGCTCCTGGGCCTCAGTCACGAAGATGGGGCTGGAGACGTGGGGTGCCCTTATCTAGATTCGCTGGGCGCAGGCAGGTGTTGGTTCATTTCAAGACACTTTTTATCTGCCTGCTGTTCATTCCTGATATGTGGAGCACCCAGTCTCATCCTACAGGGACTGTGGGCACAGGGCTGAGCAAGCCGAAGGCCCTGCCCCGTGGTGTGAACGGGCCTGAGCCAGGGCCCCGGCCAGGCAACCCCGGCCCTCCTGCTCGTCCCTCACGATCCAGCCCCATGTCGTTGCCTTGATCTCCTTCCACGGATGCTGCGCTTCCCAGAGGCCTGGAACATTCTCTTCATCTTTACATCCCTTGGCCTATCACAGTGCCCCACTGGTGAAATACTGAATTTCTTTTGTATTCAAAAGAGAATATAGGGGGCTTTTCTTTTGAACTCTCTAATTTTTAACTTTTTATTGAAATATGTCATGTATACAGGAAAAGGCACAAATTATAAGTGTTCAGCTCAGTGAAGATCCGCAACAGAGCCAGCACCCAGATCCAGAGAGAATATCCACGGTTCCCGGCGGTCACCCCCATGCCTGCCCCTGCCTGGGAACCGCGACTCCAGCTGTTCTGTGTCTGCCTCTTTGGCGCCACATTACGTCCATGAGATTCGTCCATGCTGCAGCGTGCGTCCGGCATTCTCATTTCTCTACAGAATTCCACTGGGAACACACATCCCAGTGCATTTATCTGTTCTCCTCTCGATGGGCACTGGAGTCCTTCCACTTTGGGGCCAGCGTGGCCAACGCTGCTCTGAGTGTCTGTGCTCATCTCAGGATGCACATGTGTCCCGGTCCCTGCTGGGTTTCATCGAGGAGCAGAACTCTGGGTGCGGCGTGCGGGTGTCAAGTGGGTACCGACAGGTGGTGCTCCACGTGGTGGTACAGTCTCCACTGCCCTCGGCCGTGTTTGGGGAGTTCTGGCTGCTCCACAGATATTTTGTTTTGGGGGGTTATGTTTTATTTTGATATAATTTCAAGGTTAGAGAACAGTTGTAAAAACAGTGCAAAGAGCTCCTGTCTGACCTTTACTCAGATACATTTGCCCATTTGCTTTGTGATCCGCCCTCCACTTCCTCTCACCTGTCCATCCGTCCACACACACACACATTTGCACACACTTTCTCCCACACCTGTCGAGGGCAGGTTGGAGACGTGGCGTCCCTGTTCAGTGTGTGTTTCGTAAGGACAAGCACACTGTCTCAGATAGTCACGGCCCACTCGCCAACATCAAGAGCTGTAGTGTTGATGTGATACTGTGGTCTAACCCACAGCCGGTGTTCGGACTTCACAGCAGCCCCAGCACTGCCCTGTGTCTGCGTTTCACTTTCCAGGCCAAGTTCCAACCCAGGAGGGCATGCTGTGCTCACTTGCGTGGCCCTGGTCCCCTCTCATCTGTCTCTGTGACACTGAGAGCAGGCCGGTTCTTTTGTGGACTGTCCTCACCCTGGGTCTGTCTGGGGTCTCCTCATGATTGGATGTGGTTTGTACTTTTGGGAGGACCCCCCCCCCCCGAGGTGCCCTCATGTCCCTCTCAGTGTGCCATGTCGGGAGGGCGGGTACCAGGTCAGCCCAGGGTCCCTTGCTGAAGATCTGCCTGTTTCCTCCTCTGTAAAGTCACTGCTTTCTCTTGTAATTAATAAGTGCTATTTAGAAAGGCACTTGGAGAATAGGTAAATATTCTCTTCTCATCAGATGTTTACCCACTCCTTTTAGCCTCCACTGATCATTTGATAACCCTGTCTTCCTCTGTGTTTGTCAGTTGGCATTCTTCTGTAAAAAAGAGCTTTTTCTTTCCCTCTCTTCCTCCCTCCCTCCTTTCTCCCTTCCTTCCTTTGTATCAATGTGAATTCGTGAACTTTTATTTTATTTAGTAGGTTATAATCCACTGCTATCAATTGTTTTGATGCTTAGATTGTTCCAGATCTGATCAGTGGGAGTCCCTTCCAGCTGACCTTGTGTCTCTTTGACACGTGCCCATCCTTCTTGGAGCATTTCTGAACTTTCCGGCACAAGACTCGCTCCAGGCTCATCTTGTGCTTTCCTTGAACCAGCACTGGCATCAGCCTTCTTGCCGAGGAAAATCGTATTTAGAAACCAAGATCCAGACACTAGCTGTGCCCGTGGTTACTGTGGCGTCATTACTTCTGGGCCATCTGGGTGAACAGAGCGGTGAAACCTTATCTCTTATTGATGGGGTGAAGGAGGAAGGAGGGAGGAAGGATGTATACACATAGAAATAGGGACACAGACATTCATAGAATAGAAACAAATGCGTGTATACACATAGACACATATGTACACGTAACATATCCAACCGTCGTTCTGTCCTCATAAGACTCTGAGTTTGTACTGATAGTTCCAACACCTTAGAGAACATTCTACTTTTCTCTCTTTCCATATTTATAACTCACCTGCCCAAAAGTGAGGAGCCTGGCTCCCATTATTCTTAATATATGTACTCATTTGTGGAACCCTAAAATACAAAAATAGTTTCAGAAATGCTGACTCCTACCACTGTGAAAAGCAAAACCTAGTTACTAGACTTCCGTGTTTGTATACATGTCTCTTTATTGTGTTACAATTTACATAGAGCAAAATGCACACATCTTAACTGTGCAATTCAGCAAATTCAGGCAAACACACGCACTTGTGTAAACCACACCCCATCAGAGGCGGAAGGTTCCCAGAGTCCCTTCCCAGGCGCTCCTCAACCAGAGCAAACACTTTTCTGACTTTCTTTCACCGTAGATTAGTTTGGCCTGTTTTGAACCTGCTATCAGTGGACTCGAGCAGTTTGTTCTCCCTGTGTCAGCTGCTTTCATCGACCGTACGAGATCCATCGATGTTGTCGCCATAGCTGCCTTGTGCCTTCACTGTGGGGTGGTGTTCCATTGTGCGACCATACCACAACCTGTTTATCCACTGTGTATTGGCATGGGACAGTTTCCAGATTGGGGTTATTCGAATATCGCTGCTCTGTCCATTCTGGGTGACGTACGCTGGTCAGAATTTGTGTTCCTGTTGGGTGGGCACCTAGGGGAGAGATTGCTGGGCAGGGGGTCTATGTCTGCTGAGCGGTGCCCCAAAGACTTTTCTAAAGTGGTGGCACCAGGTGCTGTCACCCCAACAGCATTGCTCCACATTGCTCTGATTTCAACCCTACAGAGAATGCTGGAAATGGTATGACAAACATTCACCTACTAGCCACAATTACAAATGGACCATTTGCTATATTTTTTGTATCTTTCATTTGTTTAAGAATTTATCTGGAAGTTATTTACTTTTTATTCCCAAGTAAAGACAAGCCTGGCGACAGTGGGTTTAAGGGGGCGGGGGGAGGCTGTTTGGAGGGTGGGACCCTTATCTGGAGCCCGGGGTCAGGGAGGGGAAGCATAGGAGATGGGGACAAGCTTGCTCACCGCTCGCTTCAAGGAGGCCCAGCTTTGAGAGGGAATCAGGAAGGTTTTGATGTCCTTTGAGGGAAAGATAGACAACCCTCCCGCCCATCTCTCAGCGCTTTGCCTGCCCTCTTGCCTCCATTTCATCATCAGGCCCCTCGCCGCCCTGCTGTGTGGGCGGGAAGGAGCTGCCCCTGTG